ATATTTCTGAATGCCAACATAGCCCAGAATGAAAGGTGATGTTTTCTTTCCTTCTAGGATGAATCTTAACCCATATCTTCTTATGTGATTTTTTGATACCTGTGCCTAGTTACAAACTTGAGTGTTCTGGTAATGACACCAGATCTTGTAGTTCTCTGTTATTGGACAAATTGTGAAGAAAGAGAAGGTCCTAATGCTTGTTTGTCCCATTTACTGTAATACTCATCTTAAATCATTCCCTACATCCAGAGGTGTTCTGTTTATCCAAATGGCACCTACTGGTTTGCTTTAAGCAATTTACCCCTTCTTGTCATCCACAGATTAAAAGATAATCTTTCTTTGACATACTTAACCATTTTTTTTCTCAAGCTCAGGATCCCAAGAGTTCATAAATGCAGATAAGTTACCTCTTAGTATTTTTGTATTGCCCTATGCCCCGTCTCTTCTTTTACACAAAAGCAAAAATGAATGCAAAGAGAATGAAATATCATCAAAATTTATTTTATTTGTTCTTTACAGAAATGAAAGGATAGCAAGAAAAATTAAATCACCATCAGTCATCAAAGTAGCCTTTTTACAATCTGGATTGTAAGCAAATTATTAATCCTTGATTATTTCTTTTTCAAAATTTTCTTTTTTGAACTATGTCATGTGTTTATACAGTCATTGTTGAGATTTATTTGTCAGAGTTCCAGATTAAAGGAGATCACAGCAGATGTAAAAAAAGACTGTTTAGCAAAGCAAGCAGTCTGTTTAGAAAGGCTTATCTCTGATGCTGTTGAAAGTCTAGTAATTCAGTCTTTTAGGTTGTTCAGCACAGTGGAGCCTTGCAGTGATTTTTGTTTCTCATTTTAGCTGCAGGTGTTAAACTCTTTAATACAGTTTTTAAAAGACAACACCTTTTCTTAAAGTGCATTAAAATATTTATTAAAACAAATTAATTTTGTAATCACATTAATTTCAGTGATTTAAAAGCACCAATATTAATATATGCAAGACTGAAATTCAATATTAGGTTAGTATTAATAGTAATTTAATGGAGGTAATGTTAGTACCAAGATTTCCTTTGTTTGGCAAGTCCAGTAGTGAGAAACTAGAAATTGATAAGCTGTAAATGTGGTCTTACCTTCACATTTAAATTATGTTCTTTCTATGCTCTCAGATCTCTAACCCTGTTTCAAACAGTATTTCATTTTCTGCCTCTTCCTTCTACTCTTAGAGATACAAATATACTAATAAATACTGAGAATTAAGTTAATTATCTCAGTACAGTTGATTACTTAATACCTATGGAGACCTTATGGAATACCATGCAGATGGACTGCATGGAATCTATAGTGCCATGATACAGCTATAACTTCACTTTGTTTGAAGTGTAAGAGTGCAATGCTTTGACCATATTCTTGCACCCTTCCGTATGTCATGCAGCCGGAGAGCAGTCTCACACTGTAATCAATGCATGGGAGCAACACTAGAAGAAGTATTTTGTTGGAATTTAAGAAAATACTACAACTCAAATATGGCTCAAACAGCATTTTGTTTCTAAAATTAAGCTCCTTTTTTAATACTTAAAATCTGCTTTCTCAAACATCTGTTCTAGAAGTGCAAAGTTAAAACAAACAACACACTTTTATCCGTAAATACAGTCTTCATTATCTGTCTCATAAGTAACAGGAAAGGAAATAATATTTAAGAAAGCAGAGATGATTAATTTCATCATGGCTTGGACTATACTATTCTACTCAGATACAGCTTAAAAAAACCCCATAAGTCTTGGAAGTGGTGTGTGGTAGAAATTCTGACTGGTTTTATTTTCTATAACCTTGCCAGAAGTCAACCTGCAGTTTCAGGAAAGCTTCAATTACACTACATGTGTATCCATCTCAAAAATTGAAACTCTGCAATGTAAATTCATCTTACTAATCACTTTATCTCATTCCCAGAAGCCTAATAACTAGTAAATTCACGTGGTTGTCTAATGCTAAAGACTTGCCAATTTAAAAAAAGAAAAAAACAAGAAGTCATTCTCTGCTGCATAATAAATCAGAATATTGAGTTCTGTCCAACTTTCTTTGAGAAGCAGTTTTGCCAAAAATTTTTGCAAAGCAATAGATAGTGTATCAATAACTTATTGATCAGTCAGTAGAAATTCAGTATAAAACCCAAATGCCTGTGTTTCTTTTTTCCTTTTTTTTCTATGTTTGAGAAATCACTTGATATTATATTGATATTGAAGAAATTAATAGGTGTATCTCCAGAATTATTCAGAAGCATGAAAAGGGATAAATCTTTAGAAAACACTGTCAGTTCTGTTAGATATATTTATATGTATAGATATATATATATTAAAAAGCAGTTATGTCAGTAAACAAGGTAAGAGAGATTAAGCCTCGTTTACAAATTACCTGCTATGCAAAGAAAGAAAAGCACCAAAAGCACAAAAATATTTTATTGTTATGTTCAGTATTTTGCTATTGTGTGTATATTTTGGAAAAAAAAAGTGTATATGCCCATACTTGATTCTTGTCCATTAATACAGTCTTAAAATTTGTCAATCTTTTTTTTCCATTGTATTTCCATTATTATTTTCAATAAGCTTTGCTAAAATAAATAATGAAATGCTTCTACTTAATAGATGTTCTAGCTCAACAGTCATCTGAAATGATTGTCATCACTCCTTTTTTCATTAGGGCCGTATATTTCTGTGCTTTAGGAATATTCATATGAATTGGAATCTAAGATGTTTCCAGTTTCTTAAATCATTTTTGGTATCAGTGATTAAATCATCATTCAGTGTTGGAGTGTTCTACATTTTTCCTTATAAATCCACTAGTTAGATTCAGTAACACCTGTGAAGAACAAGCTATTTGTTGTTTTAATAAGTAGCCTAGCATATCAAAACAATATACAGTACCATATGTCCTAGTTAGCAGTGGTGTTAATCACACAAACTATCACTTTTCTGAAATATTTTAGTCAAAATATATTAGCTTGCTTTTTTTTTCTTTTATTTTTGTGGTGGTAGTTCATGATGGGAGTTTAATATTTATCTATAATAAAGGAACCCTATTGGGATAAGGTACAATTCTCCATTCTGTTTGGCTGGGATGTTTTTTGTGGGTTTGTGGGGGGTTTGGGTTATTTTATTTTATTTTGTGCTGTGGGATTTTTTTTTCATTTCCCCTGTTTAAGCTTAAATTATAAAAATCAGTTCATTGCAATTTCAGACTTTGGGAAGAGAAATAATGCATCATATCACTAAAATCAGAATTATAATTCTATAATTGAATAGGGTTAGCCCTTTACTTTTAGAGAACCCAACACATCTTTTGCTGAATAATTTAGTCCCTCGCGAATGAACCCATCACGAATGGACCCATGTTCTATACAGAACAACATGGGAGAATCCCATGTAATTGCCTTGATTTTTGAAATGTGTAGCATCTGCTGGCAAATAGCACATTCCCAAGCTACATATTTTTTATAACGTCCTATACACAGTGGTATTTTTTTACTTAAGCCTCTTGAAAAAGTCCCAGTTGATGCTTAAGTTGTGTATGTTTTCTTTTGTTTTTATTGTTTTTCAACATGAGTTACAAGTTGGAAAGACAAAATTGGGATCTGTTTCTTATGGCTTTTTTTCGTGTTTTGACTGCTTGTTTATGTACAAACTATGAAAAATGAATCTTCATATTGTTTAAGATACATCTAAAATATTTGTGTGTGCATATGTACAAGCCCATATTTTGCTAATACACAACTTTATGCATTCGCAGTGTCCCAGCTTTCTCATATGCATTAAGAGTTTTAGTGAAAAAGTATGTATACCTATTTTATGAGGGACTGTCAGTGATTGTAAGTAACAGAACTGCTGAAAATGTGAAATTTTGCATTATTTATTTCTAAACAGTTTTGGTTAGTAACTATATGAGCATATGATAAATTCCTTTGTATAGCACTTTACATCTTATTTCTTGAAGTAAAAGTAGTGTAATTTTGGATATTTATTATTATTTATATATTACAAAGATGTCAAAAAATGCTTTGAATAAGTATTGTGTGTTATGTTTTGAAAATTGGAACTTTACTTTTTCACTACATTTATAAAAAGAAAAGAAGAGTTATTCTGTAAGGATCTAATACTTTTGAAGGAGAAATGTGTCTATAAAATTTTTAAACAGAGCAGTGCTTTTTTTGATATGTTCAAGAATTAATGTTAAGCATATGTATATTATTTAGAAAACATGATCAATAAATATGACTCTTAATTCTTTTTTGTGTTTATTTTGAACATAGGACTATGATAAGTTATTAACCTGTGCTCATCTAAGTGAACAGTTTTAATGCTAATCATAAATATATTGTAGTTATCTGTTGTGAAGGTATTAGTTGCATGTTCATCCATCATGAGATTGATGCTTACATTTTGTCATCTGCTGCTAGATTAAAAAAGATCAATGAATATTTTAGCAGTTAGTATATTGCCAAAAACTCAGTAGCTTCAGCGTAATTGTTGTAAGGTATGGAATGCACTTTGCTGGCTATAGTCCGTGCTATGGAATAGTGCATTATAAAGTGCCAAAGTAAATGTCTCTTAACTTCTTTCAGACATTGGCCCTGTTTGTTTCTAGTGTGCTCATTGAACTTGCTGGAATTTTTGTTTATTTATAGTCTTCATTTTCCCCAAGAGGAGGAGAGAGGAAAGAATATATTCCTCATGTGGTCAGCATATTTTTGAGTATTTATGCGAGTTCACCATCTTGATTTCAAGTCATGAATTTGTTTTTACATGCATAAGCATGCATATTTACATGCATTATTTATCCAACTGACTTTAAATTCCATTAAGTTCCAATGAGTAGGAGAAAGATTTTGTCTTAGGCATTTTTTATTTATTTTAGTTTTCTAGTTATGTTACTTTTGTTGGTTTATTTATTTTTTTAACTGTTCAGTCTAAGGCTTGTAAAGGTTGATTTGCTCCTGAACTGCTTTGTTCCCAGACATTGCCATCTTCCCCAACTACCACCAAGTCCTCTCCATCTGATCCCATGACCACCTCCAGAGCCAATCAGGTACAGTATCATCCTACCATCTACACCATACTTTTCACGGGTGACAGCTTGCAAACTGGAGAAAAAGATATGGTGGGTTAAGGATTTATTCGTTCATTCACATATAAACACCCATAACCATAGATATCTAACTTTTGTTAGAAATTGGTAAATTAAATGGAAAACATTTTTCTTCTTTGAATTTATTTTGTTGGTCTTCTTTAAAATCTCTGATGAAAGCAAAGTATCTTGTAAAATAGCTGGGTTGTGTTTTTTTGCATTTGATTTGATTAATTAATTGCAAGGATACAAAACTGGTGTGTTTGTAGACAGAGTAACTCTTGGTTTATGTATGTTTATGTATATATGCACACACTTATTTACTTCCTGGATCATTTATAAATTAAAACAGAATTACCCCTAAGCCCATGCTTAAATAGCTGGAATTCAACACAGGAGTGGCAACCAGACTTCTTTATTTACTCTGTGAACTTAGAAATGTGTTTGTGGACAATAACATAGGGTCATTATTGAAATAGTGTCCAAAATTAAAAAATAATATTTAAAATGAAAATCTATTGATGAAGAATGAAGTAAAATTAAATCTCTCAAGAAACATACTCAACACATCTAAGTAAGTTTAATTGATATCTTATTTTTAAATGCTTAAACTGTGCTTTTAGCAGTATTTTAATTATACTCAATTGTTTCAATTTTAACTGGAAAAAAAGTATGTCCAGTTCATTATGTCCACAATTATCACACTGTGTATCTCTGTCTTCACTATGAAAATTGTTTGAATTACTACATATCATACTTCTCGGAACTTATTAATGATTAATAAATTCCTTATTTATTTTTAATGTACTATTAAACTTAATGTACTCTGTGTCAAATTATGTAAGTATTCAGTATGTGCTAACAGTGCACACAGTCTGTTTCAGTTAGCTGAATGTTACTATCAGATATTGCACAAATAGCATCAAATACCAGAAATGTTTTCTTCACAAGCTAATTTCCCCTAGAAGTTAACATTGTTATTAATTAGCAAACCTCCGATATTTCATGAACTTAGAACTTGCTAGTGTATGAACAAACCATTTAACATGAACAAAACCATATCAAAGCATTATATCTTTGATCAACACATGACTGTCTGTTGAAAGGGATATCTAATACAGAAAGTAATCAAATTTAGAAACAAATTATACAGACAGGAAAACTACTAAGAAAATATAAATTGCGATATCCTTCACTTCAATTTGAAAGCCTTCTTCATCAGCCTGCTTCCATTCCAGCAACAGTTATTTGGCTTCATCATCATTAAATGACAAAGATAAAATCTTTGCCGACAGCTAGGGATATTTTATGAACTCTCTGTTCAGCTTTTATTCTCTCTCTCTTGATTTTAGTATTTTGTTTATTTTAATTAGAAGGTTTTAAAAATGTTGAGTGTACAGATCTTTTTTGAAAGTGATCTTACTATTTTTCTTTTCCTTCTTTCCCACATTTTAGTTTGGTTTTTTTTAATTATAAGTGTACTCTGATGATCATTATTTGGAGAAAAAGGAAGAAGTGCTTTTATTTACAGGAAATGCTTTTTGAGTGTGCTGTTTAATTAGCATAAGAGAAGTTCCTACTTTGCATCTGTTCTATGAATTTTAAATTATCAAAATTATACTGTAACATATAAATGACTTTTCAATAGCTAAAAATACTTATGTTTACAGAAAATTGTTCTATGAGAATATTATCATGTAATATAGCTGAATATACAAGCCAAAGGGAAATGTATGCTTTGTGTCCTGTCTATATTCTGCATTATGTCTTTTAATGCATTTTGTTCATAACTTGTATTCAACTCAGTTTTTATATACATAATCAAGATCTTTTTTGAACAGCATTAAAATTGTATGTATGAAGAGCCTTAACTGGCTTTTGGAACTGCTTTTATCATTAACCCTTTAAATTCCTACTGGTTTATTATTATTTTATCCCTTTTAGGATTTTCTAGTGATTTCTAGCCATTCCAGCAGGAAGCACAAAGCACATGATAAGGCAATTTAGGCTTTTCTGTCCATTCTAGTGATAAGTGACGTAGCTGGCAATTGTTCCCAGACTGTAATAATGATTAGCATTCAGCACCAGTGTATCGACAAGTATCTGCACTGCGGCTGTCACACGAAAATAGGTTCCAACACAATAATCTCAAACCTGTCAGGAGTCATGTGTGCACCAATAAGAGTGTGTTAAAGAACAAGAACAAATGTTTGCTTTGATACATGACTGTGTAAGATGATTCTCAACAGAAATTCAGGTATGAGTTTTCTCACAAGATGTTAGGATAACAGGAAAGAGCTTAGTTAACTGGATGGATGTCAGGAAATTTAGCGTTGAGGTGTAAGATAAATTCACAGTATGCTCTCTTGTGTGGATATAGTAGCATATCAGGCTTAAGATCATTCAATTTTCTGTGATATTTTGTATTAAAGATTAATAAGGTGATTAAGCAAGCTTGAAGCAATGCTTAATGCTGTGTTGCTATTGGAGTGAGATTTTTAAACTGGGTTGGTGAACTCTCCATAAGTCATTTTAATTAGAGAACTGTCAAGTCTTCATGTTGGTGAGCATAGCTGATGTGAGCCTTCCTGCTGTACAAGCATGTCAGTTGTGTCCCCCTGACAGAGCCTGAACAACTTCTAGACACACTTTTTAGTACAGGAGGAAAACAGTTCTGCCAACAGAGGTCAGAGGAAGCTGGGCAGGAAATCTGGCTTGTATTAGGCCTTCCTTTAAATGACTCACTTTGCTTCCATTCAGATGAGGTCATAATTCCTTTGTATGGCTGTTTCAGGTTTTGATGAATTGTTTTTGGAAAAATCCAGTGTTCATGAAGTACTTGTCTCATGATTCTCAAAAAGGTAGTCTCTAAAAATGCCTTATCTAGTGAAAGAAAACAGTTCCTTCAGAACTGTCATGTGTTGTGTTATACTGAGTTACCACAGATGCAGTAAAAACTTCTGCATTGGAAGTGTTTTTCTCTTTAGTTCTTTGTTCCAGGAAGTTATACATCTGTCAATATTATTCTTGTAAATGTCTTGTTTATTTTTTCAGTGGAACTTTCTTGGACCTTTATTCACATTAAAAATCCATACACTGCAAACTTCCCAAGGAACAAAGAACCAAAGAGGGAATAGAATTAAGGACACTTCAAATAACTTTCCCCCTCCTCCACCTCCTGTCTGCATATCGCTAAAAAGAACTCAATCTTCTTACGCTTTTAGACCGAGAGCTTCTGTATTACCCCCTTATTAACTTTGTCAGCTTTGTTTATAGCAGAACACTGATAGACATGTAGCTGCAGTGGTGAAACTGTTCTGCTCATGTCCCTGGAGCTGGCAGAATATGACTTTAGTTTTATTTACCAGAAGGAGGAAATGACTTTTCCACAGTACAGTTCAAGAGGGAATTCCATCTCGAAGGTGATGAACAATGCAATAAACGTCATATAAAGCATGCTTGCTTTTCCTCTGTAGTACCTTGTAAAGGTACAACTTTTAATAATTATTTTAACAGTTAAGTGACATTAGATAGACAGGTATTTCTATAATTAAACTGTTTGCATATTTTTATTTGTTTGCAAGATTTTTTTTTTTGTTTTATCTGCCTTCTTTACTGATGTTACTGTAATTTTAGAGGGAGAAACACAAATGACATAAACCTAAGCTTTATATTTCTCCTTTGCCTATTTGATGTATACCTGTAAATGCAGTTATGAAGCCTTGCATGTTTCCTTCTCCAGTCTTCCCTTTTTCCTTGAGATTGATACCAGTGCTGACCTTTAATACTGGCGTAAGAAAATAAAAGGCCAAAGCACACATTCCTACTTATGTGTGTGTCAGGAGCTTGATAGGTAGGAGTCCTTTCCCCTTGCCTAGCTTAAGCTTACTAATATAATAGGATATATCATAGCAAACTTTGTGTCAATAACTTACTATATAAACATTTATTTTCACTTTTTTATATGCACTTTTTTTTCCCAGGACATTTGTATTCTTTACAGTTATACCTTGTATTTTGCTGCCTTGTTGTTTCTCCTGAAACTCTTATTTTATCATTCAGTATAGAAAAATACAAATTTTGTGAAGTGCAGATAGATATAGATTTGATTCGTTCAGTCCTCAAGGTTTACATTTTTTTGGAGCATCTCTATCTCAACTGTTTGCTGCAATGTCTGTAATAAATAACACTTTCCAACTTCTCATATGATGAGACTGGGCCAGTTTTCTCGATACTGCCTGTACCCAGTGGATACAGCACAAGCATGCGGCTGCTACAATCTTGGTATTAGGAATTTGTACTTTTGGCTTGTATTATCTCTTTATTTTATGCAAAATCTATAGCTTACAATGCCATATAATAGTACACATATAATAAGAGATTGGGAGAATAATTGATGTCTCTAAATTGTAATGATTGATGTACATGGTCTCCCTCTCTGACTTAAAGACAGTCCTATCTCTATTTGTAAAATTACTTGCAGAAGTATAATCTGTTCAGTCTTCACAGAAAAGTAGAATCTGTAAATAGAGCTTGTCTGTAAAGCATAATGGCAGTTTTTAAAGGGTCAGTGAACTCATATTTGGTGTATAATTTTTTGTGGGACATGAAAGAAGAGACAGGAAAGAAAGCTTTGTTTCCGTATTCTGTTATCATTAGGATATCATTTTTAAAAAATATGTGTAATATCCAACTTCAAATGATAAAGTTTTTTATCAGTAATTTAATCTTAATGTACAAATAGAGGGGTTTAATGATGATCTCAGGATACTTGTTAGCTATTTTAGGCCATTGAGATATTATCTCTATTGCCTTTGACAATTTCATGTGAGGCTTTTTTAAGATATTGTGTCTCAGATAATTTAACTGCAATCTTCATCTATTTTTGCTTCTCTAATTTTGTGATTCTTGCAGTGGTGTTTGGAAAATCTGTTTTCTTTTAAGGTCTGCCACAGATTGAT